CACGAATCCGTTTACATCGATCTCAATAAATGTAAAAAGAATAGAGGAAAAAGAAAATTGAAGTGTCACAACTCTTTTTTATATGTAAAATATTTTTTTCTTATTCATATTATATACATCTTAAAAGTATACTTAAACATCGATCTTTTTAACTGGATTTTTTATTCTTAGTCCTATTTAACTATATTTATTTTATTTTATTTATTAAATATTAAATTTATATATAATACTCCAAAAATAGTTACATTTCATATACAAATACAAAAATTGATTTAAAAAAACAGTAAAACGAAAACTATATATATAAAAATTGATTTTGTGTTATGAACTTTGTTATATTTATGTATATAATATTTATGTCTTTTATGTGCACGCACGTATATGTATTTTACATTATGTCTAATTCTAATATTTTGTTTGAAATGAAGTTTATAAATTCTATATTTTGGGTACATTTATTAGAAATTTTTTGAAAGTTTATTTTCTTCAATTTTTAATTAACATTTCTGAATAATAAATAATTTCATGACACAATCTTTTGTAAGGAAAATATAAACAATTTATATGTACACGTCCCAAAAACTTTATCATATTGACTACAAATTGATACAAACAAATTTTACCACTGCCGAGTTAAACGTCTACCATACATAACGCGTTCCGTTCAATTTTCTAAAAATAAAAGTTTTTGTAGAGCTTCAATATGTACTTACGTTGTTATTTAAGCATCCGATTTTGTATCTCTTCCGGTCTTCAATTGTACATTTTATTTATAAAATTTTTATATAAGAAATCGCGAATATTATCGAAACCGCTACGGAATTGCGTATCGGAAAAAAATAAAAAGAAGAAGAGGAAGATATTATGTTTTCACGCATAGATTTTGCGTTCGAAAGTGAACATTCTTGAACACCTCGCGTCGTTATGAATATGTGATATTACATATGTCTGACGATTAGACCGATTGATAATGATCGATTCCGATTTTATTCGGAAGCGATAAGTTGAACGTATTGTGCCTGTGCTACAAATATTTGAAATAATAAAGATACAACTCTCGCTATATATATACACATATATATATATATATTGCTTCCTACAAATTTTACATCTATTTTTGAAATGCATGGCATAATATTCTTGACAATCTGAGCAATATTACAAATATATTAATTTTAAGAACTTTGTATACTTTTTCAGGTTTACATAGGACAATTTACAAATTTGGAAATAATTTATATTTGCAGAATGGAATGTTGAAAGCTAAAATAGCAATCTATCAAAGACAGATTTTGCGAAGTATCTTAGAAATTTTGTCGACAGAATACAATCTGCTAACCGAATATGATGGCAGATTACCAGCAAATGAAATCTGAAAGAATACTACTCCATTTAAGTTAATTATGGTAGATTCTTCTCAATTTCTACCTGCAATTTGCTGTCAGACCACATAAAACACGAGCTTAATACTGGATAAAGACGGGATTAAAATAGAATAAATATACATTAGAATACATAGTATTAATTAAAGTAAACAAAAAGAGTTATGAATGAAAGTATAATAGTTTTGTTCCTAGTAGCTAAAACAGCATTAAAACAGTACTGGAACAAAGGTAGGACAAGTAAGAGTCTACTTTGTGTCATATATTTTATTTGGAATTATTTCAATTTCAATTTATCTCTCACTTTTTTTTTAAATATAAATTATTTCTCATAATTGACGCGTGTATGTATAATTATGTACTTTATCGAATATAAATTATTGAATTTTTCCTAATTGACGCGTGTATGTATAATTATGTATACATGTCTGAGCATAAGTACATATTTTTTATAAATTAAAGAAATTTTTATATGCACAATTTTACGGTCACAATAGTGATACCCTTTTTACTTACGCTAGGTACTTTACTGATGTGGCCTTCACCGCGCATGCGCAGAAAATCCAATTCTCTCCATGACGCCGCGCGATTGGTCGATCGGCAGAGTGCAGACTTCACAGAGTTTTACGAACGCAGGCCAGCGTCTTCGTCTGCCTTGTTTATCGTAGCGTGGAAAAGAGAAAATCAGTTTAGCCATGGGCGCTACAGTGCGTTGCCAGTCCTTGTCGTGTGCCTTGTCTGTACCTGCCAGCGATGCGCTTTGTGCATACGCGTGATCGCGCGACGGAACATGTCCAGGAACGTTCTTCACGTGCCGTGTTTAATTAGGGTCACTTGATAAATCGAACGATCGGTAGCGAACGCGAAAGGCAAAGACGGCGAACGGGCGCGACGAATTTTCCCCTTAAAGGTAAGTGTGGCAAAGCGTACCTTCTCTTTTTTTTTTCACCGCCCTTGCGACTTTTTTTTCGGCTTCCTCGCTGACTCGGGACGCTGACGATGACATCATCGATCTTACGGATAATAAATTACCGTGGAGCGTCGATTGACGGATCTTGGGAGTCAATGAGTATGTAATATTTTCCCTAGGGCGGAACATGAAAAGTAAAAATTTTTGCGTGTGTATGTGCGTACATGTATGACATATATACATAAAAAATTTTCACTTTTCATGCTTTACGCTCTAGAGGTAAAGTTACATGATTGATACCCCGGAGGTAATCGGAGATCATTGATATTATCGATCACTTTTTGTTTGGCAAAAAATATATGTGTGCATGCGTATGTGCAACTTATACTTTATACCGTACACATATAGAATTTCGCAAGATGTATCTGCGAAACGCTCGAAGGATTGTAAATTAATTACGCATTACAGACCGAACGTCCGGATATTCATATCGGGACACTGAAACGGTAATGTTTCAGTGCTCTTCTATTATCTTCGAATGCCCGTTTTTGGTCACGAAAATTTTTACCCAGAACCGGCTCTCTTTCGCTGCAAAATAGGCCTGGGTTTTTTTTTTTTTATAATCCCATCGGTACTCAAAGATTCTTCGATTTGTAACGCATGATTAGGATTTTTCTTTTTGAATGAATCTCTCACACGGTTCATCTTTTCTTCTTTTTTTCTCAGAAAAAAAAGATGTACCGTGAAAAAGGTTCAGGTAAAAGGACAGATTAATGTAGTCCTTTTTGTCACATCAAAGGTTCCTCGATTTTTAACGCATGACTAAGATAGAAAGTCAATTGTGTCTCTTAAAAGCGAGCAAATTTACAAGAATAGTATCATTGGAATGTCATTGGTCAATACCTAATAAATTTGCTCACTTTTGTAATTTTCATCTTGCCTCAAGATATACAATCGACCCCCTGTTGTTTTTAGCTAAATCCTGTTGTTTCTTGCACAGTTCAATTTTTCTTCTTTTCTCTCGACTTTGGAAATAGAAAGAAGAAAAAAAGGCGAATTTGCAAACGGTTTCTGCTAAAAGAACGCTGAAAAGACGGGTCTATTCTTTCCCCGATGAATCATGTATCTTTCTTGCCGTTCCGCTATGACTCATATTCATTTCCTTTTTTTCCTCTTTCCCCCTTATTACCGTATTCATGGCAAATAGATATAAGGAAATTGTTTTACTGTGTAGTGACTTTTGGAGCGCACACGTGTACATTGCGCGCGATCTCTTGTCGTCCTCGTCCTCGATCGTAAGAGCGTCAGATAAGCGAGTTCCTTCTGTGTATATCGGGGACGTATTTCTCGCGCTTTGATAATTGTCTGAAATTCACGTGATAAACAAAGACCACGGGAGCAAAAGTATAATTTAATGAATAGGAATTCATTAAATTTCTCGCATCGTGATAAGTTTTTCATCACTTTTCGATATTTTGAGTACTGAGAAGACGAATTTCTGTATCCGACGTTACTTTCTCGTCTTTATCAGTTAATGTCAATTTGATACTTGACATTACGATATTCGCGACAAG